TTAGTCAGTGGATTTTGTAATCAGATTAGTGCGTTAGAGTGAAGTATCTTTTTTTTATCACAGAAAATCAACATAGAGATTAAAATGATTGTTAGCTTGTGAATAATGGTATGCAGAAGTTGCAATGTTAAGTTTTTATAAGGTGAAAATCTTAAACTGAAGAGACAATTAACTGTATCATTACCTTAAACTGCTGTAGCAGGAAGAGGCTCCCAAGAGCTTTACTATGTGGTAGGTATATAGTTGAATGACATCAATATATTTTCTGGGAGAAATGTGGGTTTCCAGATTCTTATGCATGTAGCATTAACTTGTAGGAGTTTATGCATTTATTTCAAAGGCTTGCCTCTCACAGAGGTGAACCCCTAGAGCTGACTACAAGTTACTTGTGATTCTGGTTAATGATGCTGTTTGAAACCAAATATGAGCAGCAGTAGCAAATTCTGAACAGGAAATAAAAAGAATAAAATCCCAATTACAACCAAACTGCCTATTCTAGGCAGTGATGTGGCTGATCTATTGGACTCTTTGTCCAATAGTTGTTTCAAGCTTGCTGTAAGTTTCTAGATATGAGAGACATGTGAAAGTCTCCTGAAGTGGGAAAAGAATGTTACATTTACAGGAATTTTGTTTATTGTCAACTTTCTTTTCCTGAGACAGATCCTTAACCATCCTTCTGAATCTAGTTTTTTCTTTGAATCTGGAAAACTGCTTTAAAGCTTTCCTTACAAGTAGAGAGACTTTTTTGTTCTTTTACTTAGGTTACACAGAGGTATTCTGTTTTCTGTAGCTTTTTATTCATAGTTTCAGCAATACTCTAAATTATTTCAAATTAGTACAAATAACATATTTTCCTATTTATTTGAAATGACAGCAGACTAATTTATGAATAAAGTGCAATTGTTCCTGTTCCTACTTGACTGAACCTTTGAACAATTTTCCAAATCACTAACACGTTTGTAAATACATTATTTTTTTCAATGTTTGTTGCTTGTTTTCAAATGAATAGTCATTTTCTATAAACCTTATCTCTTCATGTAGATAAGTACAGTAGGAGCTTTACATAATTCAAAACTCAGAAATTACATTCAGCATTAGAGAAGCTGGTTCAGCTACTATTCAGGCTGTGCTACAGAAGTTGAATAGAGGCATGGCACTGTCTTCCCTTCCAAAGAACTGAGTCAATTGCTCTTCTCACTTTCACATGACTACCAATCCACTGAAATTGGCATCTTCACATTCCAAATGAAATAACTCTTTATAATTTACAAAGCTTGAAGCAAGAATGGAGAGCTGAATATAGAGAGCAGTCTTATACTGTGGAGGGAGTTTTACTTAAATTTTCGAACACTGGTGTACTAATTAAAACAGGTAACATCTTAACGGTGTCCTTAACCTAAAAAAAGTATAAAAGAAATGAAAATGTCCAATGATCTAATACCTTTGTCTGCTACAATGGTAGTCACGTACATTGTGATATATATTGCTAAAATGATTATAGTAGGAGGAACTTGATCTGAAATTCTAGTTGCTAAATGGCTTCAGAAATTATGCAGCTCCTTCAGTTAGATTGATTTTGATATTCAGAAATGTTGTCTTTCCAAATATGTTCTGTTTAAATCGGAAAAAATGTAAATGGTACCATCCACAGAGATCAGTGCAGCTGTTAATTCTTTAGAACATGGCTTTCGAGTGAGCTTTTCCAATCAAAACTCTTTCCATTTTTATTGATAATTTCCTACTCTGGGGATAGCAAGGTATTGTTGCTTGAACAAAACTATGGTTTTCCTGATGTTTTGACTTATCTATCCCAGAGTTTCATATCCTGTATAAACTCTTTACATGCAAAAATGCTATTAAAATTTGTATTGCTCTCTGCAACCAGCAATAGAACTTCAGCCAGCTGAAGCCCCATTCCTGTGATTCAAGAGCACGTGACATGTAACATACTTCCCATCATATTTTATGGGTGAAGCAATACAGTTTTACCATCATCTCTTACGCAGACATCATTTATCTGTTCACCACATTCGTTAAAGTGTGTTGCTCATGTAGTTGCATGTCTAGCACTTTGGGTACAATTTGTCTTACTGTCCTTGATGTCTAATATGAAGGCATTTACTTTCGAGTTAGTTGCCTATCTTTTCTTTTTAGTCAACAGTTATAAAAGGTCTTTTTACAGTTCACCTCTTCCAAAGGCAGATAAAATAGTTAACTGCCGTTGCCTCGGAATGTTTATACATCAATTGTAACTTAATTCTAAAGTCTCTAAAATATACAGAAGTAGTGAGAGTGGATGAGTTAAACTTAAAAAGAAATTAAATTTTTATGAGAAAAATGGTAAAGGTTGTGTTTTTCCTTCATGGTAGTATTTGCTTCCAAAATTCATGTAATATTGCAAATAAAAGGTATCTCTTCATAGAGGTCCACAAGGCATTATTTTCATTTTTCTGTTCTAGTTACCATTTAGAAATACTAAAAAATGAATGTATTGCTTAAGTGAACAGTAGTAACCTTATTCAAATGCACTTAAATGTGACTTATCTCCTGGCAGCACATACTTTGCTCTTTATTTATATTTTTCATTCTAGAAGGTGTCAGTGTTCAAGATCAAAATAGAAATGGAAGTTCTGCTTCATTTCTGCAAGTGCATTGTGATTGCCGTTCTCTGACAATAATGTTATTTGAATTACCACTATTAGTCCACCTATACTAAAAAATGTAGTTGCTCTAAAATAAATTGTGATTTTAGCATTCATTCATTAACCCTAATGTAGCCAATCCTCTTTGGTTTAAAAATCCATTTGAAGGAAATGAAGGTTTTACCATTGAGTTCAACAAGTTTTAAATGAGAATTTCTATACATTTTATTGAGGTTTATTTTTTCTAAAATGGGAAACATTTGAGTGTCAGAATTTTTTTTTTCCAGGCAAGGTCAAGCTACTCAACTCTATTACAAAAACTAAATAAAAATATCATCATAATGTCTTACATATTTAATATTAATTTTTAAATTTTAGGTTAATTATCTGTGATAGCAAGACATTTTTCATTGCTTCTTATTTATTATTGAATGATTACTGATGTCTCTGATCACCAGAGATCATTTAATTTGATATGCTGAGTGCAATTCTAATTTTATTTTAATTTTGTTTAATATCGATGAATTTGAAAGTTCAGTTTCATAAAGCAAAATGGCGCACATAAAAAAATGCTGTGTGCGTCATTGTACATATATTTCTTTGCACAATATATTTATTATTATTGTCATAATATCATGAAGTCGTAGATTGATATAGGTTGGAAGGGAACTCTGGAGGTCATGTGGTTGAATACCTACACATAATGTCCTAATTTATCTTTATACTCTGCTTTTTTATCATCATTGCCACCTTTCCAAGGGATATTGTAGTTACTTAGCAAGTACCTTCTCCAAAGAATCTCAGAAGCAAATGGGAAATTGCCTCTCTCTTTTCTGGCACTAAGTCCACCTTATGCAGCAAGATGGATCTGCATGATTTTTCCTCAACCCACCAACTTTAAAATGTCAGCCTTTGTAACAGATTTTCCTCATCTCTGTTGGGAAATTTCAACTCCCACGAGGCTTCAAAATTTACATAAACAAATTCTCCTACTCTTACATTTCTTCTTTGCTTCTAGTTTACATACAAGATGAATAGGTATTTAACTGCTGGTGTTCCTTTATTCATGATCCAGTCATCTGAGCTGATGAGAAATGAAGACAGTCAACCGTTTTAACAAGGCAGTTTTAGAATGCTAGAACATTAAAAGTCAACTAGAAATAGTAGCAATAAGAAACTAACTACTCCTTATCCAGAAAAAGAACATAGCAACTGAAATGATGATCTGAAAATAATTTAAAAGTCCTTATCTCATCTTCTTTGACATAATAATTGGGCATTAGATGAGGAATTAATTCTTAGTGGACAGTTGAACAAATCAAAATTAACATTCAAATTGGACCATTTTTGAATGTTTAAGTAAAAAGGTTAAAGATAAAATGTTCTGAGATCCTTAAAGGACAAGGTTAGAGCCCATTGGCAGGCTGATGTGAAGAATTATATTCTTAAGTTTTGGTCATTTTCCAGGACCAATAATTTTAGATTCCTAATCAGTATAAAATTCACTGGAGCAAGTTACAAATAGCAACTTCACTCTCATTCATAAACACCCTTTAAGGAACTCAGTCCGAATGGGTTTCAATGTACTTTGTGTACACTGCAAGACTCTCCACAGTGCCAAGGTAGCGGGAGGAGCCTTTTGTGAAAATGAAACATGAGCCCATGTTGCCTTACAGTTACAAAACGTATCCATGTGGATACTTCTTTTAAATACATGCACCTGTGTGTGTTTATTACCTAACACATTTTGAGTTTAGTTGAGGTCTTCTTATGTGATGAGATATTAAGGACTGATTAATAGGTTTGATAATGAAACCATGTGGTCTCCAAAGGCACTACATACATTCTCTTCCTTTTTTTTTTTTTTTTTTCCAGAATGTCTTAATGCTCACACTGAGATTTCTGCCATGCTGCCTCTATAGTTGCTAGGCAGCAAGGCTTTACCCCCAAACTGTGAGCTCTATTCTGCATGCTGAAACACTTTCAGATATCCTCAGCAGCTTGAATCTTCTTGCTGAGGGACTTCCTTGATTGAGACCAACTGCTTCCAAAGGTCACAGGCTCTCTGTGGATCAGCCCTTTTCTCTGATGTGCACAAATCTTCTAATTTTGTACTTCAAGAAACCCTGCAGCAATCGAACCATGGTCCTGATTGCAAAACGCCTTGTGCAGTTGTCTCCTACTGTATGCTGCATGGTGCCAATTGCTATGTATAATAGAGTTTATGTGGAAAGTGGTCTCAAAAAGGCATAAGGAAAAAAATATTTATGTGTGCCAAGACTAATGAAAAAGCCACTCAAAGATACTAAAGCTGTCCCTTTTTTTTTCTTTGTATTTATTTATTGTCTTTTTCCCTAGGACAAGTTCTGGATGTGCTGGAAAAACATAATCTGAGTGACAAAACTCTTGTATACTTTACATCTGACCAAGGGGCCCATGTGGAAGAAATTTCTAGTGCTGGAGAAGTCCATGGAGGATACAATGGCATATATAAAGGTGAACATTCTCTGATTATTCTTGAAAAATGCAAGGAGAAAAGCTATCATCTCCTTGGGTTTGCACCAAAACTGTAATGTACTTTGTGGACAAGGTCAAATCTTCAATCTTATTGAAATACAGTAAGAATGCTTGTTTTCATTCTTTTTAATAAAATTCAGTGAGTATTCTTGTTGGTTTTTTTTACCAGAGATTAAGTTCTTTTCATTCTTTCACTGGGTAGTAGCTGTGTAATTTGTTTTCAACTCATATTCCAGGGGACAAGATCAAAGAAATCCATCAATTTTTGGAAAGTCATTTACCAAACTTAAAACTTTTAGTTGTAGAGAGAAAGAAGTAAATTGCCCTTAGGTATGATTTTTTTTTCTATATAGTATCACAGAACTAAAAGATCTCATAGTAGTTGAGTTTGGAGGGCATCTCCCCGTGTCTGCAGTCCTAGCCCCTGCAGAGCAGGGTCAGCTAAAGCAGGTTACTCAGGACTATATCCAGTCAAGTTATGAAAATCTCCAGTGATGAAGACTTCACAGCCTCTCTGGGCAACTTTCTCCAGTGTTTAATCACACCTACCATAAAAAAAAAATCTTTTTCTTATGTTTAGATGAAGCTTTCTGTGCTTTAGTTTGTGCCCATTGCTTCTTGTCCTGTCAAGGGGCCCCACAAAAAAGGGTCTGGCTCTGTCCTCTTTATTCATGTAAATCCATACAGCTGGATAAGCATTCTCCAGACTGAACATCTCTTTCGGTCTCTCCTCATATGTCAAATGCTCCAGCTGGATAATCATTGTCGTGGCCTTCTTTTGAACTCATGCCAGTATGCCCACGTCTCCTGTACTGGGGAGTTCTTCACTTGAACCCAGTGTTCCAGGTATGTCTCACCAGTGCTGAGCAGAGAATAAGACTTGCTGGAAACATTCTTCCTAATGCAGCTCAGAATGATTTTGGCCTTCCTTGCCAGAAGGCACAATGCTGGCTGATGTTCCACTAGTTGTTCACTAGGACTCTCAGGCCCTTCTCTGCAGAGCTACTTTCCAGCAAGTCATCCCCCAGACTTTGTTGGTGCTAGAGGTTACTGCTGTGCATTTGCAGGGCTTGGTATTTCCTTTACTGAACTTCATGAGGTTCCATTTGGCCCATTTCTACAAGCCTCTAAAGGTCCTTCTGGATGGTAGCTTCCCAGTTTTATATCATCTGCAAAACTTCAGAAAGGAAAAAATATAGGCACACAAAGTAAGCAATAACAATACAATGAGGTTTTCAAGTGAGAAGACTCCACAGTTTTTAGTCAATAGATATCTGAGAAACGACCCTTATATTTTAAGAGAATTGCCAAGGAAATGCTACAGCAGCAAAACAAGCAATGCCAAAGTCACGAGGTCTGTCTATCAGATGGGTCCCCTTGGGCTAACACCAGAGTGAAATGTACCTTGAACGTTAGCACACAGGCCTTACATAGTGATTTAAGTAATTAAGGAACCATATGGTTACATATCTGTAGCTGTAGGCACAGCCTGAGGTGTTTTAGAAGCTCTAAAAAATATTTGCCTTCTCGAGTGCCAGACATAAGATACAGGATAAATGGTGAGGAGGGAAAAAAATACAAATACACTAGGGAATATGCCTTGCTGAGGAACTTTGATTGAATGAAGTCTTTTCTCTCAAGCCTTGCAAAATTTTGTGTTCATACTTACAGAACAAAGAAAAACTTGAAATAGGTCTTACCTGGATTCATGAAAAAATCTGATTGATGGGTTTACTTGGGTAATAATGGGACTTCTTTTTTTTTTTTTTTTATGAATTGTGTGGAGTGGCTAAGGGAGCTGGGGTTGTTTAGCCTGGAGAGGAGGAGGCTCAGGAGAGACCTTATCACTCTGTACAACTATGTGAAAAAGGTTGAGGCCAGGTGGGTATCTGCCTCTTCTCCCAGGCAATGAGCAACAGGACACGAGGATACAGTCTCAAGCTGTGCCAGTGAAGTTTTTAGGTTGGACATTATGAAGAAGTTCTTCACAGAAGGAGTGGTTGAGCATTGGAATGGGCTGCCCAGGAAGGTGGTAGAGTCACCATCCATTGAAGCTGTTTAAGAAAAGATTGGATGTGGCGCTTAGTGCCATGGTCTAGTTGATAAGGTGGTGTTAAGTCATAGTTTAGACTTGATGATCTCAGAGGTCTTTTCCAACATGGTTGATTCTGTCATTCTGTGATTCTGTTTACTGTGCTGTGCTAGCAATGTAATATACAATGGGTTAGAAAATAATCACACTGTAAGAAACAAAATCATTATTTGATGAGAGACATTCATATAAAATAAAAAGAAATTAAAAGACCCATGCAATCAGTTGAATATCCTTCTATCATTTAAAAATACAATTAATTCTGCTTTATCTTCCACTCCCTCCATCTCCATATCCGTCCTTAGTTTAACAGGTATATTATGCATCATTTTCAAAAGGGCTGAAGTGGAAATGATCAATTAATTGCATAATTAGCAATTTTCATACATAGGAATTTATTAATATTAAAAGTCATGTGTGATGAAAAGTGTTAGAGGTGTGTAAATCTCTGGCAGAGTTAATGAGACCAGACCTGTGAAGTCCCAAGTCTCAGGCACTGATATAGCAGTGTGCCTAAAAAAGCAAAAGGACCATCTTTATGCTGCTTGTGCTCATGTGTGCACACACTAGGAATTTGCTTCATCTGATGAGTAGTTTAAAAAACTGGGAGACATATATGACCTTTCTCCCTGTTTCTGCCAGTCAATCTCCACTACTTATCTTTTTGTATATGAGTGCTGTATAAATGCGAATATGAATCAAGCCACTTAACCCTCTTGTCAGAGCTGGAGCGGTACGCTCAGCAATAATTGGTTCTGCCCTAGAATCAAAAGCTCTCAACAGATCTCCACAATTCTAACTCAGTAATTTGTCTTGATATCCAGCCAAATAAGCACCAATGATAAAATTTAAGAGGTGTTTGGAGACTTAGGCCAGTGCTACAAGACTGGATGCAAAAAGGGGAAATTGCTATTTGAAGGCTTTATTGCCCTGGATTCTGACTATGGAACAGTCTCTATAAATTTGGATAGCCCTTGAAATTGAAAACCAGAGCTAACCAGTGTTTAAGCAGTTGCTGCCATACACAGTCTGGTTTATCTCTGCAGTATCTTTTTTCAGAAGACATTATATAGTAATATTGAAGTGATGGATGAAAATCTCTTCCCAGTGGCCTTTTTCTGACATTTAGTTATCAGGATCAGAATCTATGTAGTAAATAAGAAAATCCTTAAGAAGATCTTCTAATCCTAGATAGTATGACCTTGGTTAAAGATGTGAATCCTGACAACTGAGATTCCACAAAAGTTTTTAGAATTAGTTATATAATTTTTCATCATATGGAAATGAAATTCTACTCTGAGTCTTTTTAAATTCTGAGCATAGCCTATATCACTTGTCAATGAGAACACAGTGCTTTCATTTACTATTTTGAAATAGGACAGTTGTAAATTTCATTTCATTTCAACTCTCTGATATAGGATAAAGGAGGGAAAAGGTTTTATATTTTCCCTGGTTTACCTTTGTTTTAAATACTTCTCTGGTGCCTCCTTGCCTTTAATACCTCATTCAGAAGATAATTGTCTCTTCTGTCTCTCTTATCGATCTTAATTGATGACTTTTTCCTTGTCCCAAATTTCTTGTTATTTTCCTCTGTGAATTATTTCTAATTGTGCGATGTATTTTTTAAAAAGACTTTACAGGTCAAAACCTTTTGGTTTTTTCCATTAAGTGTCAACTTGTCCATATACTTAACTTCTTAATATTATCCATTTCATCCTATTGACTTTGTATCTTACTGATTACAGATATGCATAAAGCCTTAGTCTTTGTATGGGTTCTTTTTCGAAAGTATGCAATGAAAGTTACAGTCTGAATAGCTAAGACCATAGACTCTAGTTCAGTTATTTTTTTTCTCCAATGTTCATTGTGCTGCAAATATTTTTACAGAATTTGAAGTTGCATCGTTTCCTGTTCATCCAACTTAGTGTGAAGGGCATTATCTTTTCTTCTGAATTTGATCAACCTCTGATACTTTGTGTCATGTGGATTTTTCAATTCCATGGCTCGCTTCTCTTTCAAAACTGAAGGAAATATATTAAAATAGTAAGGAGCTTAACACAGAGTAGCATCAAGGTACCTTACTATTGACTTGCTTTTGGAAAGGGTCATAGGCTGTTTGTTTAATCTTTTTGTTTCCTGCCTGTTAGATTTTGATTCATGACAACCTTTTGTCTCCTAACCCATGATTAATGTTCCAGTAATTTTTCCTGAAGGTCCTTGTCAAAGATCTTTAAAAGGTTTAGATTTAGATACAGCTTCTAAAGCAAAAAATAGTGGCTATTTTAATAAGAATTTCTTCCCAACAACTCAAGGTCTTTTTACTTGAACTCATGATGTACTCCTGGATGCATATGTGATAATACATTAATATTAATATTTTTAGATTGAAATATTGACACTATTATGTGTAACCAAAGTCTCTTCTTAAAACTTTCTGTGTAATTTTTGTGTTTTTTTTTCAGTTCTGTGACATTTCTCTGTTGAAAGGGATGGAACACTGAGGTATTGGTTTTGTATATGATTACCAGGATACCTGCACTGACTTCTCCTTAGGTGGTTTTCACTAATTGTCCCATTGAAGCATGTTCATTTGAGCTAGTCACCATAGCTTTCCTTTAGAAACAGAAATAAGGTTAGTTTTTCAAAATACTTCAGATCTCTACTTTAAAATAAGGTGAATAGAATAAATAAATTAACAGAATTTTTTCTCCATGGGAAAAACAACCAGTGTAAGATTACTGGCTTAAAGGATGGCACTATATTCTTCTGTGGTACCCTGAGAATTTAAATCTAAATATTTTGTGGTAATTTTTATTTAGTTTCTTAATGAGTAATTTCTTGAACTGGCTTCAGTGTATATAATCTATAGCAGTAAACAGTAAAGACAATAAAAACTTTTCTCCACACCTTTTCTCGTTATGCTATTTCACTGGTACATATGCAGACAGTAGAAGTTCTCCCTCATTGTCACTTGTTGATGTCTATCCCACTCTGTTATGTACAGGATTTCTGTGGAGTCTCCTTGCATCTCTTACCATCAGCTTCTTTTGAATACATATATTTTTCCTGTACCTCAGACCTGTGCATTAGAAACATTGTCTGTCTTTGTACTTCTGAAGAACTTAGTGCAATGCATACAGGCCCTAGGCTACCGTTGTGCCACCAGAGTAGGTCGTGAGTTCTGCTGCTAGTGGAAGTGGAGTCCAACACTGACAATGGCAAACTATTTGAACAACATTCATTGTAAGTGCTTTGTGCCTTAGAAATAGATATTATCATCGTTATTTGTTAATATCCATGAAAAATAATGATGAGTGTTTCCTAAGGACTTAAACCTTGATTTTTTTAATCTACTACAGATCTGTGAGACCTAAACAACAACTGGAGGAATCAATTATCCAATAAGTCATTCCAATTTATTATTTTAATATAAGTTTATACACTCAGTGACAAGTTAGTTCAGCAGATTTTCTTGAAGCTATTAGTAAACTTTTCCTACCTGTAAGCCACAGAGAAATCAAGATGACCACTACTTTGGCCCCAAGGACCACGCTATGGCATATTTAGGGATATTTATTGAAGTTTCACTTTTGACTTGAATGAAAGCAGAAGTTTACCTTTTTTTTCAAATGTACTGTATTTTTATATTCTCTCTGAAGTGGTCAAGATTTTTAAATGATCAACCCATCTTGTAATTTTGACTGAAACAAAAAGTATTCTGAGAGATCATTTCCTTTGATTGGAAGAAAGGTTGGATGAGGAAATGTCCAAATGAATCATATCTATTCCATTCACCTGTACAAGAACAGCTTGAAAATTAGCAAAACCAGTACATGAAACAAGTTAAAAATCAGTAAAATAAAGAGTGAATTTACCATTGAAAATAAATTGGGTTTTGATCGTTTTGTAAAGTAAACAATAGATTGTTGATATTTGTAGCATAAAGTATATTACATATGGGTGGAATAATTAATTTCTTTGTATTTCTGTATTATTCAAGATAATAAATTGGATTTAGAAGCTTTTTTTAATAAGAATATATGAAGGAAGGAAAGGGTAATATGATTATAATCCACAGGATCTAAGAAAGGTATTTAAAATAGTTTTTATCATTCATGTTAATAGCAATTTACCACAGAGTTCCCCTTTATATATCATCCTTTGTAAAAACTCTATTCCCAGAGTTAGATAATAGCAGTCAATTTAAACCAGAGGGAGAAAAAGAAAAGATGTATTCTTTTAGCTAAGATTTAAAATGTGGATATAATGGAAATTTGACATCATGTTGTGGATGACTGCAGAGAGTTATGTATTTTGCCTGCTCCTGTGGATTTTTCAGGAGAGGTAAACATAGGCTATTGTTCAATATAACACTGAACCACTCTATGCTTTCTGCCACCACTCAGAAAGCATAGATAGCTAAGCATGAAGATGCAGCTTGGTGTATCTTATGCTTTAAAAAAAAACTTTTATAAGAATTTAAGAGAACAAAAATAATATATAGCTAGGCTGCCTAGAGTTTGCAAGGCATATAGACTACTAGGTTGCTGTCTTTTCTCCATTTCAGTATTGTCAAGTCCAAGCAAAATACAAAACTAGTGAGTCAGATCCTTAATATTAAGAGATTTTTTTTAAATAATGATATTTTGTGGATTTTTTATTGCCTTTCTCATATTTTAGCTATTTTGATGTTTGCTTCATGTTTCAAGCATCAGGAGTAAAAACTTTAATTTTTTTTTTTTAGGAAAAAAGAATGCAGAAAAGAATGCTTGAACAAAGTTTAACAGCTAGATTTTTAAAAATCATATATGTCAAGCTATTTGTAATCACATAATGGCATTAAGCAGCTCTAGTGATGTCGCTGAACACTATTGTAATAAAAATGAATACCACGTAAGCATAGATAATAGAAGACAGTCTTCTGCAGTGACTTGTAATTCCTGCCCTGGTTCCCTGCTATTCCCAATCTCCAGAGCTATAAAAAAATTATGCTCCAATTCGCCTTTTGAAAGGAAAACAGCAGTCACTTCTTCATAGACGTAAGTGAAGATATAGCCCTACTGTGGAGTCAATTTTGCTTTTTGTATCTTACAGTGGAGAGTCGGAGTTTGCAGAGTTCCTTTGTGCTTGAGTAATGTGCAACTTTTCTGACCTTTTCTGTAGTGATTCAAGAAAATTGCACTGTCAACCTAAGAGCTGTGGAAGTGACACAATATCCAGGTTTTAAGAATTCCAGCATGTGGGAATCAGGTTCACCCCTTATCTTGAAATTTTTCTGTCTTCAGATTACACAGGAGACAACAGTGTAATGAGAATTTACTTAAGCAATCCAATCTAGCTAGCACTGTTATTGGGTTCTGTACACAGAAATATAAGGAACCTCACACTTAAAGCTACCTACAGTATAGGTCAACTCTTGGAGTCTGTCTTGATACTGTTCAGCCAAAAAGGTGCTGTGATGTGTACACAGAACTAGGATCTGGCTCATGAACTAAATTATCTCCCTGGCGTAGCTGTTCACAGAAAGTGTGTTAATTTGAAGATATCTGTAATTTTATGTCCTTGTGCTTTTCTTGAATTCTGATTTGGATTTAACTACTCCCACTCAACAGGATTTTCTATGCACCATAGCTCAGTCTTGACCTTTTCCTGCTAGCTAACACCTAATCCCACCAAACTTTGAAAAACCTAATGATTGTTGTACAGGAATAATCTTTTCTACAGAAGATGTACACAGTCTATTGAGACCTACTCTGACCTTGACCTAACAAAATTAACAACTAAGCAGCATACTGTTGGGTGAACACTTCCTTTTGCTAGGCAACAGGTGTTCTACACCTCCCCAGATAGCAACTTTATGAACTTAAATTTACATTTTTGGTTTGAAAAATCATATTTTTTACAAGAATGTAAACAAAAATAGTACATGCATCTCATTCTTGAGTTTTAGAATAGGTAGCCAAACACTTTATCATGTGAATGGAATCAGATTTGACTCACTGACAGGAGTAAACTTTTAACAGTGCTCTAGAAGACAGGTAGTCTTGTTGAGATCTGATCTTGGCACTGTTTTCCAAAAACAGCTTAAGGAAATATTGTTGCTTGACATAATGCTGGATATTAGAAAGTCTGAGTTTTCTGATTGCAGACTAGATGTGTCTCTGACTATTCAATATTATGAATTCTGATAAAACCCATGGAAAATGTAAGCAGAAATTTGATATAACAGGGACTCATGAGCTAATACTCTTTCAGCCACAAGAATATGTATATATATAGGTAAATATCTCTGCAAAAGAGAATTTTCTATCTTGAAGTTACTATTTACCTTTACGAACAGTGAAAAACCTGTAGAAAACCAGGTGGATTCTGAAACCACTATCGCTGAAATAGAAAAGATCATCGAGGACTCAGTAAAATAGATAACATATACATATAGCAAGGCCTGAGCTTGGCACCAAAGGTATAGACATCTATGAGGTGTTTTGGAGGTTAAAGAGGCTGAGGAAACAGAACTCTTGAAGTTCTTTGTTGTAATTCTTTTTTTCTTTTTTTTTTATTTGAAAAGGGGAGATATATGAATAAAGTGGGTTATGGGACACACTATCTAGACCAGGGGCCTCTGGTGGTCTAGTGGTCAGGGTGCAGGACTCTCACCACTGCGACCCGGGTTCGATTCCCAGCCCCCCGGGCAGATGGAGCTCGTCAGCCTTGTAAGGCAATCCATCTAAGAGAAGGTCACTCTAAACAAACCTATGTCCTGGGGACCTCACTGCCACTGTCCAAGTTTGCTCGGCCCCGGCAGATGAACCTCAGGATTAAAGGGTGGGCTCAGTTCAGCGCACGCTGTGTCTCACCTAAAAAATCCACTGCGCAGGCTCGAAGGGTTAATGACCTTTCCCAAATCTTCGCTCGCGAAGACTGGCCATTATTATTGTATCTAGACCAAATTCTATATGTAGATTCCTGTAAAGTGCCTTTTAATCTCCTGCAACTGTTTACTTTTTTGTAAACTAAATACGTTTATTTAGTTTATTTATACTAAATACTAATACATATTAGTAAATTTACTGTGATAAAGTACTACTCTAGGTGGAAAATCTAGCAAAGTAAAAATAAGATAAATACATTTAATGGAAAGATTCTAACTAAGCAGAATGTTTAATGTTTGGAAATTGAATCTTGTGGAGGGAGCATTATCTAAGAAGTTGATTTCTCAGCAAACAAAACTAATTTTACAGGTGGAAAATCAACAAACTGGGAAGGAGGTATTCGTGTGCCAGGTCTTCTCCGTTGGCCTGGAGTGATACAGGCTGGTGCCTATATTGATGAGCCAACAAGTAACATGGATATATTTCCTACCGTAGTCAAACTTGCGGAGGCACAGTTACCCTCTGACAGGTATGCTCTGCAGTCATCTCTGTTTTAGAGAAAGTGTCGTGAGTGTTTTATACATTCTGGTGATGTCTATTAAGATAGAGGTGAGAATGTAAGTAAGAAACTGGGTTTTATCCTTACAATAGTATGTTGTCTCTTTTCATATTGACATACTGATATATTTTACAGAAACATTGTGTGTAAATACAGCTTAACTTGCAGAACAAGCACCAAGCACCAAAAAGATAAGAGAAACCATCAGAGCAACATACTGTCAAATCAAACCTGGAAATATTTACCAAAAGCAAAAACGAATGTATCAAAACAGTTGTGTTCTGCATGAGTGAATGTGGTAGAAAAAGGAACTGCAATTGTAAATTACTTTAAACTTCATAGCCAGCTAGGCTTTTCTCACAAGTGTTTGGGTTTTTTTGTTTGCCTGTTTTTTGGGTTTTTTTTCCTGTTGTTTTTTTTTTTGGGGGGGGGTTGTTGGTTGGTGGTTGATTTTTGGTTTTGTTTTTGTGTTTGTTTGTTTTTGTTGTTCTCGTCGTTGTTGTTTGGACTTTTTTTCCCCTATGCCGAGTTAGTGAAAATAATCCCTTACAGATTTTTGCAGCCTGATAAGAAAACTCACTGGGTTTCTGAAATTCATAAGATACCTTACTGACACTGCTACATCTCCAGACTTTGTCTGGTTTGGGAGATACCCAATCTCAGCAGCAGTACCTCCGCTTAAGTGCTGTTGCCCTCCAAATCCAGTAAGCAGAGAAACCTGCTGATAAACATATCCTTCAACATCTACAACACACAAACAGCACAAAGCATTGAGAACCCACATGGGAAAGCCCAGTGCTGAGCAGAGTCATTCTGCTAATGATGATTCATTGAGTGCTTGAAGGAAATGGCAGGGTAGGACAAGTGTAAGACATGAAAAATTAGTCAGATTGGTCCTGAGAAATGCCCTACAAGTGGTAACTGCCAAACCTCAGCAGTTCAGATTGGTCCTTATGTGGTAGATACTATGCAGGTTGTTTTCATATTGCTTGAGTGGAGACTAAGTACTGATGTTTTCTCTGATCTCTTTGATAGAAATCCCAATATACTTGTGTAACTTCCACTTGTAGGTTGCTCCACTCTGATTCTTCTGTAAGATTTCTTCTGTAGACTGGATGCTGTAAGTACTGCTTCATGTTAGGTCATGGACTATCTTGAAGCATTTTCCATCCAGCAGCTGAATTCCTATTACTCCACTGAATTCCTCCTTAGAAATAAGAAAAATTAATACAGTTGGGATTCAGTCACTGTGAGGGAGCAGGTTAAAAAAAAAAAAAGGAGGAGGTGCTCCTAGTTAAAGAAGAGAAATTATTCATCAGAAAGAGTCTTATATATTCCTCTGAAACTGGCAGCTCTAGGAATGCAAGAGTATTGGTGACATATTAGTGGAGATGCCCTTTTCCCTATCAACAGGCTCTAAAACAGAAAGTGTACAATATACATGCTCTTAGTTTGTTAATGAGCAAGCCTGCAGGGGCAAGACAGGAGTCTGTCACTCAGGCAAGAAAACACGACAAATTGAAAGTGGGACAGACTCTAATTCAACAGACCCCCACAGTCAAGGATGTACTCAGAAGGCAGAGTTATCAGATAACATAGCTTTAGGAGTTCCAGGCTGTTTTCTTGGCTACCATTTGAAAAAAGTGCTACTCATAATGGCTCTGTTGCATACAGTTGCTGCCATGAATTTAATCATCATATGTAGCTTATGGCTTAAAAAAGTGAAGTTAGTACCTGTCTTGTTACACTAACATGAAAAATGTTTCATGGTAATGAAAATTAACATAGACATTTTTAAACTTTTTATAAGTTTCAAAAAGTTTTTATGAGACGTTGCTCAAAATGCTTAAGAAAGAATTACTTGCTGATATGTATATCAGCAAAAACTAATTTCCTATAAAACTTATTGTAAAATTTGTAATTCATACCAGGTCAAAAAGGCAGATTGTGATTTCTCCTCTTCCAGCTGATTCGAGCAATTCAAAGGCTTAATTTATGGAAACATTTAAAAGCCTTACTTATTTTATAAGTCAATTTTTATGTAAATTGACTGACTCCTTCAGCGCATGATCAGAATTGTCCAGAAGCATTTAGAGGATTTATATACATATCTATATATACACCAATGCATGTGTATGTCTGTCTGTCTGTCTGTAGTTGATAAATATGTATTTAAACATAGTTGATTTTCAAATTTGAAACGACTACTTCTGTCTTAAATTCAGGCATGCATAATATGCTAGACAGAATTCTCACCATTACTTCTGGGGATGCTAACAGAGGGCAGCATATATTTCTCTAGTTTAGTTTTAGGATTACTTTGGCCAGGCTACTCCCAAACGCTTGAGCAGGTACACGTGAAGGACTGTGTTGTAGCAATTTATTCACATATATCTGGTCACTTTCTCATTTAAAAAAAAAAAAAACAAAAAACAAAACAGAGTTGAGAAAACAACCATTCATAATGAAAAAATGTAAAATTAATGTTTACTTAAGTAATGTAAAAATCAAAGGAAAGAGCACACGAAGGTTTTTCTTTGACTTGACCAGATGGAGGTGGCCATTCAGATTTTGGGTTTTTTTACTAGCAGATGTGCAGAGTTATAGTACTTTCTCAGTCAAGTGAGGTTTGGATTCTTCTGATTTTGAAATGCTTTCCTATTCAGAATTATTGATGGACATGACCTGCTGCCCTTACTTCAAGGAAAAGTTACTCGATCTAAGCATGAATTTCTCTTCCATTACTGTAATGCATATTTAAATGCAGTGCGCTGGCATCCAGGAAACAGTAAGTAAACTTGCCTGTTCACATTTTAAATATTTAATATTATTTTTATTGCCGCTTGAAAAGAATCAAAAGGAAGCCTTGGGCTATAGTAACAAAAAATTGTTTAAAATATCTAGGCTTTTTCCTTCTCTTTCACTTTTCTCTTTGCTACAATGTACCTATTCACCATTTCACTGTTTGAACATTAGTTTGTTGCTATACATTAATGTTACATATCAATGCAACACTGAGATCTGTGGTATCGGAAAATTTCCTTTTTCAAAACCTTCCTGAGAGAATCTGTGTTACAGAATGAAGTAGTCAAGGTTAATTCTTACACTGTCCTAAAAATATACAGGTAATGGAATGGCTTGCTAAATAACAGCACAAGTATGATGTCAGTCTGGCTGTTTTTATTACTCAGATAGCAAAGTATAGAAGAATCACTGAGTCAAAGTCATAATTATCCAATAAATGAATATAGTATTATAAGGTCCTTTTTCATGTTTTTTATGAACGACATAATTTTATCTTGTAGGCCAAGGAAAAAAGCATTTCTCACTCTTTTGCTCCTTTTTCACTTACAGCTCACTGTTTCTAGTAGCACCTTCCACATTAACCAAAGCTTATTTCCTTTTCTATAAAAATCTCTGTGCTGAATGAAGTTAAACACACATTTGTCCCATCTCACTTGACACTCAAAGTGACGACTTGTGTTACAGCTTCAAAATGATGATCCAAGACAAGCTTTGGCATCAGGTTTTTTTTTATTTAAGTACTTTGGGAAAAGATTTGTTTAATAGTTAATGTGCAAACTTAAAGTGAGTTGGAAACGTTATCTTCTTGGTCATCCGTAGGCTGACTTTCTACCTGTCTTGGACTTAAAACTAGGAAAAGGGAAAATATTACATGTCACGTTTATTTACCATTACTTTGCCTATTTGTCTTGCATTTGATAAATAATCATAAGGCAGAACCAAGCAATCAGATCTAGTACTCTTTTGTATATGATGTTGGATGAAATTATTCTGAGTCATTATGAGAGAAGTAGACAGAGCTTTTGGCAGGCAGAGAGGCATTTTTTGTCAAACATACACCTTTGCAAGATGACCTATCCCTTGTCTGAGGAAAGGGTCAGCTTTATTATTCACTGAAGGGTAATGTGGTGGGAAATGAGTGGGAGTAACAGTGGGGGACTAGTCTATTGTATTTATCTGATGAGTAACAGTGTAGATTGTTATTCTTCCTTTCACCAAGGCATTTAAAGGACAAAGCCCACTCAGAACCTGGCAATAACATTTTCTTAACATTGGGCTGATGTTTGTAGAAGGTTGTTATGGCTTAATTCCAGATAGCAACTAAGCCCCACACAGCCACTCTAACCTGGTGACATGAGGGAGAGAATTGGAGGGGTAGAAGTGAGAAGACTTGTGGGTTGAGATAAAGTTTAATAGGTAAAGCAAAAGCAACACGTCAGCAAAGCAAAACAAGGAATTCATTCACTATTTCCCATTGGCAGGCAGATGTTCAGCCATCTCCAGAAAAGCTGGGCTCAATCACACATACTGGTGACTTATGGAAAGTGGAAAACAAATGCCATCACTCTGAATGTCTCCTTCTTCCTTCTTCTTCCCCCAGCTTTATATGCTGAACATGATGCCATATGGTGTGGGATATCCCTTGGGTCAGTTGGGATCAGCTGTCTCAGCTGTGTCTCCTCTCAGCTCCTTGTGCACCCCCAGCCTGCTCACTGGTGGGGTGGGGTGAGAGGCAGAAAGGCCTTGGCTCTCTGCAAGTGATACTCAGTAATAACTAAAACATTCCTGTGTTATCAACACCATTTTCAGCACAAATCCAAAACATAGCCCATACTAGCTCATCATCAGTGAAGAGAATAAACTCTATTCCAGCCAAAACAAGCACAAAGGGGTTTTGTTATGCTACCTTGTCAGCCTACATTGAGAGTAGGCAATACTACAGTGAGAGTAGACAATAGCCGGGTATTTCTCTCTGCTATCTTTTGTAGGTATCCTCTCTGAGGGTTTAACACCTTCTTCTTTCTTACTTGTCCAATCTTAGATCTTCAAAAATGCCTTTTCTAGGTAGGCAATGCAATCGGATTTGTAAAGATATTTGTTGAAGTCAGCTAAAGTCTCACCCCTGTTTATGTCTCCACTACTTGTTATTGTCTAAGAGAGATAAATATGCTGGCATTGCAGCTGTAGGCACCCGATGCTATCTGCTTTGTTATGGGTACTCCTGTGGAAAAACAAGTATGGTTGGTTTTTCTTCTGATATGTCAGCAGCTCTACATGGTGCAACTAATAATTTCAAAGTGCATTATATTATTAATTATTAGTTAGTGTTATTGTCTTATAGCCTCCCACCATAGCTCACTCTTTACAGCTTATCTCAGAGTCCATCCATAGTTGCTATTTCTGCTACTATTGAGTGATATTTTAGTATGTGAAAATTAATACAAGTAAAGCAAAAATATAGTGCAATGGTTTGGGTTGTTTTTTTTTCTCCTGGAGAAGCAATTATTTTGAACATTTGATTCAAAAATGTTCAGAGCTTTTGTCTAGTAGCAAAGAACTAAATTAGAAGTATCCTATAGTGACAGTTCTTACCTTATATTTAGGAATACATCCAAGAAAGTGAATAAGGTGTCATGTTCATTAAAAACAGACTAGAAAGCTGGAAAATGGTGGAACTTTCACTTAACCTCAGTATGCTACTATTATCACTTGCAAGACTGTAAGTCTTCAGGGTTTGGTTGTAGACTGAGCACTGTTTCCCGCTCTACATGTATTCCATGTCTAACATGCTCTGTCACCTAAATAAAAACATATTCCTCCATGAGCTCATGCATTTTCCAGTATCCAGAAATGACTGTAGAATCTCTCTTCATTTAGTTGCTCCTTGCCAATGACAGTGATACTAAGGAAAAATGCATATACCAAGAATTGAGAGGGAAGCAAAAGTTCTGCTAAGCTATTTAGTCTCTTTTTTCCTTCATCACTCCACAGTTCCCTTAGTAACTTTATCTTTGCCATTGTTAGATTTCAACTGTGCTTCAGTCTGAAACCCTTTTTTTTGGTTTAATTTATGAATCTTAGGTTAAAATTTAGTGTATGTTAAATTTCTAGTAGTTGCACACCTTTTCCTTGCTTGCAAGCTTCCAGAGTCTGACTTAAGCAGATGTGTTTCTCACATCATTCAGGGAAGGTCAGAAGCTTCAGAGTGAACAATTACCATTTTGCATTTATATATTTAGAGGCTAAGCATTCCTCATAACCAAATCAATACACATCTTCATTAAGATATATTAGTTAGGTCAGTTATTACATTCACAATATAATTTCCCCTTCATCAGCCCTTTGAAGGAACATTTAGAGGATATGTGCCACACAATGCTTTTTTCAACCAACACTTTCAGAATTTAAGCCTTGTGCTTTCTACAGAGACATGAGGAAAATAATGTCTCTTTTTTCTCTTTTCCTCCTTTCTCAGCCACAGAAATAAGTTAACACTATTTTTTTCTTCATCTCTCTTTGACTCACAATTTACCTGATGCTAGAACATAATGCACATTATTCTTCACATTCTGAATTAAAAAAATGAATGAAATATCAGGCAATATTCTTTGCTCATGATTCTTGTCTCGTTCTCGCAGATTCATGCATGTGGAAACTTGCTGTAAGTGCCTTGAAAATACAGTCCTAGTCCTCAGAGGATGATTTCCTATTATTTTGAAACCTTATAAATACGTGTAATTTAAATTATCTGTTAAAAATATATAAAGACGTGCTAAAACAGCATCAACAAAGTACAGCCATTTCCCATTAACAATAATTATTCTCCGCAGCTGCCTGGTGTATCATATAGGTACCAATATATGAAAGGAGCAACTTTAGAAAAAAACACTAAATTTTCTTTCTACCTAGTAAGATGTAATCACCTATTTTGTTTTTTAAATAATTGAGTAATTTTTGTATCATTAGGCCTTTTCAATATGAAAACTAAACAGATGTAGGATATGCCTTTATTTTCTTGAGCTGAGCCACTATTCTGTGGTGTATGCCAGATTATGCTTTGGCCTATTTTAAGTTAGATCACATGTTCTTCTGCTCAAGCAAGTTGACCAGTTCTTGTGTATTTGCTAATGTTATAATTTAGCATTTCTGAGTATTAAAAAACTATCAAGAGCTCTGTCTCCAGAACATTACTGGCATATGAATCAGTGCTAACAAAAATGCATTGCTATGACAACTTAATTATAAGTGGAGAATTAATCAGATACAGAGCAAATCTACAGTTGAATGGAACTACTGCATCTTTCAGACTGCTATGATTGTGTGCAAAATTTTGATTTGATAAGGAGGAAATATATTATAATACTGTGTAATAAACTCAGAAATATAATGTAATACAGTCCGCATTAAAAAGAAATCATGATCTTCATAGTATTTTGGTACTACTAATAAAAATATACTAATGTTTTTGATAAATGCTAGAGTGATTTTACTAGCAGAACTTCACCTTTTCTAATTCAAAATATATTTCATTATTCAGTGAAAAATGTCACTCAGTAAATAAAAGAAAAAGAGATGTGCTGTGGCAAGTTAAATTGAAGTACACTAGACCACAGAGTCAAACTAGCTTATCATGCAAATATAATGACTTTTAAAGACAGTAGCAGTTCACTAAAAAACATTATAAAGAAATTTCCTGCTTTGCCTCACTTACCAAACAGGATACATTTCATTTGGTGTTTATACTAAGTTTCTTGTACGTTGTGATCTGCTGCATTTATTGAAAATAGTTCAATCAAATTCTTTCTGTATTATCACAGAATTCATAGCCATGCTATTCCTGGCTGTCGCAATGTTCTCCAGCATCATGAGTATTTCATGAGACACATTTTGTTCTTTGGCTAGAGGTTACAGGCTTTTCCCAGTCTCGCATTTAGCCTTTTCTACATTTTCAGCTGTTACAAGTTAAACACTAACAAAAAGAGA